CTGTGGCCTCTCCATACCAGACCAGCCCAGTGAAGGAGTACTCAGCAGAATACATATCCAGTGATGTGCAAGGAAGTGAGCTCTGTGACAACAGACTCTCATTTGGCAGAGAAAGTACAAAATGGAATCAACAAGTGTGTACCAAAGCAAGGCATATAAGTGACCAAGAATTATCCTATCCCAATTCTTCTGCCTCATATCCTTCATCTGGAAGATACTTTACAAACTATGCTTCACAAAACTATTCCTCTTACAAGAACTATGAGTCCATGAATACTTGTACATCTTCTGCAAATTCTGCTGTTTCAGGAAGAAGTGGCTCCAGGTGGCACCAGGACACTAGGTGGAATGAGGACTATAGGTGGAATGAGGATTCTAGCTGGAAGCAGGAATCTAGGTGTCAAGGATTCAGGTATCAGAAATCAGGCTACCAGAGAGACTGGAGTTCACATCAGGACTCATTTTCTGGCAGTGGTTCGTACCAAGATCACCAGCAGTTCAGAAGCTCAGAACAGATGTTTAATGGAGTTGATGTTGGTCTTGCTCCCAACACTGTGAACAGACTGCTAGGAAAGGATGTCCCTACAATGACCAGGATGCTGAAACAGCTGGCTCCGTATTATCCAGCGCTTCAAAGTAAGCTGGTGATCGGTTTCCCTCATGTGAAATGAGTTACGTCAGCGCGGTTGCTGTAACCTAGGCAGGAGATTGCGGGTGGCAGAGATAGGATGAGATGTTCAGGGGAGTTGAGCTCATTTTGCTCACATCTGTATCAGCTGAAGAAAGGCATTGTTGCTTCTCTAAGGACACTGGGCCTCTTGGCAACTAGATGGAGCAGTGAGTGGGAGAAGATTTTGATAGTGCAAAAATTTCCTGAATTGAAAGGTTTGTCCTAGGTCATCTTTCTAACTAGCAGTTTGTATCATGATTTGTACTGGTAGATTTGCAATGATGGGAGGGGAATGTATTGGCATAAAGAAAAAAATACTGGAATGCTTGCAGAACCAAGCCTGGATGGCATTATAATAGATAATCCAAATGAACCAAAACCCATTGGGATAACAAGAGAAACGTTATCAAAGAGCTGGTTCACTAAGTATGAATTTCTTTTTTCCAGTTGCTGTAGAAATAGTCATTAATGTTGAGAATAGGGATATACTATTCAAAATGACAGTTTCTCCTTTGGAAATAGATTATGAGAGGGACTTAAAGAGAAGTGGGCATATGCTACTGCATAGCTGTCATTGGGCATGAGTTTGGACAAATGCAAACTATGCTTCTGGTACTAGAATTAGTTAATTATGTAATTTGTAACTACTTAACAGTAAAACTTTAATTTTCACATTCTCTATGTTGTATTATGGAAATATTATGAGATAGAAGTAACTCTAAATGTCTTTATTGCCCCTTTCCAGAAATAAATATTCAGACATTCGTCAATGTGCTAATAGAAGCTAGAGAGAAAGATTAAGGAGCAACAGCTGAACTGGAAACAGATGAAGAGATTTGAGAATCTCCATCCCTTGGCTTTCAGGAAACAGACTGCATTTAACTCTGTGTTTGACTGGCTTGGGAGAGATAAAGGGAGGTAGGGTTTAAGTTTTTAACATGTGAAGTACACACATGTGAAATTGCACATAATGGGTGAACATACTATTTTGTTTAAGCTTTTTGTAATGTATTTGTTATATCTTAGTATATTTCAGAAAAAAGATCTTTCATTATTTTTTGAAAATATGTTAAAATTACTCTGTCAGCAAAAAGCTAATAATCCTTTTAATACCCTTCTCAATTCAGAAAAGAAAGAAAGGTTTACTTTTATGCTACCTACTTAGGAAGAATATTAATTGACTCTACAGGTTTACTTTCCTTCACAATGTAAGGCCTTCCTTACAAATGTAAGGCCAGTTCCATTAATTTGAGGCTTTATAATTAGGATATTTTTAGAAATTGATATACTACATTTCTATTTAGACAAAGAAAGGAGAATGTCACAGCATAGATATTCTCTATCTTAATGTGATACTATATGAGGAAAACGTAATCTGTGCTAGAGGACTGGTATGTAACAGGGCATATCAGTTTCAGTTTGCAGAGTAAGACATGGTGTGAAATATATGCAAATTTTTTAATCATGTTGTTCAAAATGAGATAATTATGAATTATCCTACAAACTCATTTGGTGGATGGACCCATGCTAAAATAAAAATTCTTGATTCTTTCTACTGGCAAAAGCATATTAAGAAATAGTAGAACCCATAAGGCAATCAGATAAAATAACAGGAAAAAAGAAACAAATTGTTGTACTAACTGAGAGTACTTACCAGTTCATGAGGAGTATCAGAGCCACATGCTCATGAATGCCTGGCTTTAGATATCTGCTCTATGTAATTAAAACCAGCTTACATGGAGCTGAAGAAAAGAAGTAAAGTGAGACAGTTTACTCCTGAGTGTCTGTTTTCCTTTTCACTGCTGCATTGTGGACTATCATTTTTCTTCTCACCCATGCTGGAACTGTCTCTGTGCATTAAGTACTTGTGCTGAAGCAGGGTTAGTCTTCATGAGCTGTCATAAAACATTTTGGATCTTGTTATGTAAATTTTAATAAAAACTCAACTCAATTTATTATTGAGCATGTAAACTCAATTCCCTAAAGTTTTCCTTCTGTCATTAATTTGTTTCTGTGTCTGAAAAGATCCACTTTCCTTTTTTGTTCCTGTTCACTGTGTTTCATTCCTGTTCACTGCTCATACTTACTGAAGTGTTGGAGTGGTTTATAACATCACACATCTCATAGTTGTGCCATACACTTCCATGCACTGTATTACATAGTCAACCTTCTTGCTTAAAAGGGAAAACTTTTTTCTGCCACAGGTGTCTGCCAGAGTTTTGATTTACAAGTCTGTAGGATTGATTAGTTACTATATATATCTACATTTAAAAATTACCAGAAGTTATTTATACAAATGTTACTAGCATAGTTTTTTTCTCACAGAAAGTATAGTGCAACTAAAATTCTGAAACTGTAGAAAAAATGTTGCTAGAAAATATTACTGCTGCAACTCTGTCAGTTCAAGTTAATTCAAAGTTTCATTTGAGGTTGTTGCAAAGAACTCTTTTTCCCCATTTCTCACTCCTTTTGGATTTTACTACCATCCCTGTATACCCCAGTGACTTTTGGGTGGAGCTGGATGAGCTCCACCCAAATCATATGCTATTTCCACCTACATGTTCTGTAATTTTTCTTTATGGGCAACAGTTATTGTTCTTCCTTTGTTGTTGTGCAGAGTCCTGCATTGGGGAAACAGTTCTTGCCTTTGGAAATGGAGTTGGAGCAGTAAGACAGCACTGATTTACTAAAGCTTTCCTGAACTGTAGAGTGCTGAGTACTTCTAACTTCCAAGAAAACCCTTTACCATATCTTGCTCCTATGTAGTATAGAATTGGACCAGAACTCTGTCTAGACTCCAGTCCTTCTTTAAGAAACCACCTCACAAAGTAAGTCCTGACAAACCTGCAGAGCAGCACCAGATGCCTGGCACCCGTCAGCACCACTGCAGCTACATCACAGGCCTTGGCATGGAAGCAGTAGTTCTCAGAATGCACCTGAGCCCTTGGAGCAAATTTCCAGTTTCCTTAAAAAGTCAGTGACAAAAACCCAGACTGGAACATGTCTTGGATTGGGGATAAATGGTCTACTTTTAGTCAGTTTCTTGATCTTGGTGTACCTGCTTTCACACCTTCAGAAGAGTGTTTCCCAGTGAGACAAGAGTTGTTCCAGTCCAGAGCCACCTTGATGATTCTCTGGATCAGTGATGCTCCTTTAGGAAGTGCTGGAGTCAGCTGTTCTGCACCAAGGGCAGTGAAATACAACAAGGCCAGCTGGACATAGAGACATCTTTCAGGGGAGACGGCTTGGAAAGTTTCTTAGATTCCAGCTTTTTAGTTTGTACCTTGGACTTAGTCCTCAAAACACTTCCCAGAGTTACTGGATTTTATGTGCATGTATGCTCCAAAGGGACAGATTTCGTAGTAGAAAGAAACAGGAGCTCTTTTAAGCCCAGAAATTCTCAAAAGAATTCTTTTCTGTTTTGTTTCTGGAGAGAGCATATATAGTTACTATCTCAGCCTTCCAGGGAGGGAAGGTTCAAAGAGTAACTGGTGGAAGTCTTTTTCCCTTGTTTTCTTCACCGTAACTTTCACAGCTGTTGGATGAGGTGGTTTCTGACACTGGTCATACTCTTGATCTCCCTCACCCAAAACCAATTCGTTGCCTTTTGGGTGAGGCTCCCCAGAGTGCTTTGGGGGATCTCCTTGTTTCAGTGTGCTTATGCTCTAGGGGCCATGGGTTTTCCCCCACATACTTGACACCAGAAGAGTGTTCAGAGTGTTGCTGAGCTGTCACTAAGGGTCTGACTATCACTTGACAAATAGTGGCAGCTTCTTTGCATGACAGATGTTTTATAACAGTTGCACAGTTGCCACTTTGCTGCCTTCACCCTGACACCAGACACTCTGCTCTGGGTGAGACAGAATCAGAATCATCTGAGTGGAAAGAGTCCACAAGGATCACTACGTCCAGCTGTTCAGTGAATGGACTATACAGAAACTGAACGTGTGACCTTGGTGTTATTTGTACCATTCTCTGACCATCGGAGCCAGTCTCAGGGTGACCTGGAAGTAACATTGTAACTCTGGTTGTCTTTCTTTGCTTCCTCCAAGTTGTTTCTTCAGAGTTACTGCAAGAGATGGTGTGTGACAGGAATCAGTCATTACTTGTCTTGCTTGAGTTTTTCCACTCTCTCTGATTAGCTGTAAATGGTGAGATGTAGGGTAAAGTTACAAGAATGTCTGACTGTCAATTCAAGGCCACTTCAAATAAGTGCTTCAGCACAAAAAGGAAGACTTCTGATGTCAAATGAGACAACTAAGCAAAAGGAGCATATTCAGAGTCAGAGTTCATTTTTGTGGGGAACTTATCAAGGGAGATGCAGTACGACTTTCTTCACAGGTGAGAAGAAGTTGTATTTGAATCCATCCTAAGGATACCCTGAAAGAAGGAGACAGCTAGAAAATAAAATAAAAAAGGCCATCCAAGTGGAGAGATCCCTGAATCATAGAAAATGAGAATACAGAAATAAAATCACCGCCCCCTTAAAGCTGTATAAAAGTGAAACAGACTAAAAGTTGACCTGGTATTTTTATTTAATTTTAAATTCTGTATTTAAAAATTAATACATTAAACTCTTATAAAAGTAAGGCACATGCAAAACATGTTGTGCAACTTCTGGCTTTCAACTGATATAAGCTAACAAGCATAATTTTAATTTGGCATTTCTAAAGAGTCATTTTTCCCATGCAGGATATGCGTAAGAGGTAAGGATATGTGTAAGAGTTCAACATTGTACTGGTTAAATCTAGATTCTGTGCTTTCTGTACTACAGTAAGCAGAGATGGTCATATCATACAATAATACAAAATAAAACCAACTCAAGTACAGATTCTGACAATGATTACCAACATACAAAATTTAAGAATGTGATGTTACATCCATTATAATACATAATCTTATTCAGTAGAGGATGATTTGGCAACTCCAGTCTGTGTAATGCCAGTGTGCGATTCCTGGTTATTGGTGTCATACGATGCTGAAGACCATGGAAAGATACTGCTCATAGGACACCTGAATCCAGCCATCCTGGTCAGTGTCGTATCGTCGAAACACGTCAGTCAGCCTCTGAGGAGGAGAGACAAAAACAATAGACATTTTTGTTCTAGGGGAAAGTTCAGACTGCTACATACTCCCCTTGCCACCTGGGCTTCTTGAACCTGAGCTTTATGAACCCTTTCTGTTCATCCCCTCTGCAGCCATTTTACAGTCTTATATAATGCAATACCTAAGGCTACCTTCTGTATAGACCAGACAGCTTTTTATAACTGGCTTTAAAGCAGGGGGAAAACCAATGCAATGTTTGAGTCATCTGGAAACAGAATCCAATGCATACCTTGTGCATATCTCACCTTCCAGGCAAATATGCTTCATGTGCCATTGCTATCTGAGGTGTCTCTGTATAACCCCAGAGATGCCAGGCAGTATAGACAAAAGAACAGAACAACTGCCAGCATGGTTTCATTAACATCAGCTGAGTGATACTCCATTTCAAAGCCCTTTTTAGCAGAGTTCAAGTCTACAATTAACCATAATTGCCTTGTATTACAAAGGAATGCAAAGGTGACTGATGTGTCTAAATAACAGCGGTGCAACTTTTACAGGGAACTGCTTTCCCTCCATGTTCTCTCTCTTTTTCTCACTCTCTGTTACTGAAAGACTGGAAGGTTTTTTGTGTATTTTTACCATTGCCCTTGCAAGATTAGCTCTGAGGTCTGTATTAAACTCACAGTGTCAAACGCCGATACTATTTTTTTGTCCCTCACCCATTGTATCAAATTTACTTGAGATGCAAAGGAATTACTAATGAAGACCAATACACAAGGATGTTTCTAGCACTTAGCATATACTTAGTTCAAATGGCTTACTATAAATAAGAGCAAGTTCTAGATGCACTGTTAAAGTGAGAACCAGAAAAGCTTAAGGTATTTTTTTTCAATTGACATCAAAGTACATCTCCTTTCTTACCTGTAGAACAACACAGCACTGAATAAAATCATCAAAAGCAACTTGTCCTTTTCCTTGTCTGTCAAATTTCCGAATAAGGATATCATAGAATTGATCAGACAGTCGGTAACCTTGGAAAAAGAGAAATACTTTAGAAGGTTTCAATTACTGCAGTCCTTCTATAAAAAGAACAAGGTTGTTTAGCAGGCATGTGTAACAAAACCAGAAAACAGTAAGGAGTTACAATGTTTGGTTTTTTTTTTTTTTAATCTCTGTTAAACTAAAATACATGCAATAAAACCCAAGCTCAATAATAATTATATACAGAGTCACAGTAAATATAATTACAGATTAAGGTGACTGATTGAGGGAATGGTTTAGGGCTGCATTTCAAGTCTTTACAGGTGAAGTGACTGGAATGAAAGTTCCTTAGGCATCAGAATGCTCTCACAGCATGGACAGCTGGCCTTGTTTTAAAAAGTGGCAAGTTCTGTCAAGTACCCTGCTAGTTCGGACTTTGCCTGATACACTGGTAACCCTCTCAGGGCTTGTCAAAGAAGAGACTGGAACTGGATGTGTCAGGATATGTGTTGAATGTTTTCCTTTTTATCTATTTAAGAAAAGAGCCTTAAAAATGTGTCTCTGGCATGGACATCATTAAAAGGTACCTTATACCTAAAAGGAAAGCTGCCCTTCACCTGCCTCATTTTTAGTCACATCTGTCAGAGCAGTACAGCTCTGCAACAGTACCAGTAAGCAGCTCATTCTATGACATAACCCAGTCATAAAAACTGTAATTACTAATGAATTACCAAAACCTGTTAGTGCTTGCTTTAGTTCATTTTTGTCAATCATTCCAGAATTGTCTCTGTCATACGTTCGAAAGACATTCTGCCAGTCTGTGATGTATTTCCAGACTCCTGTGAATTCATTGAAGTTCACACCCCCTTTGTTTTCTCTGTCAAACATGCCTGAAATAAAAAGTAAGAAACACATATAAAACCTTAGTCATACAACTCCTCAACAAGATCTGCCAGGACTTTAAGTAGATAGCAAGAGTGCTCTGTGGAAGGTACTGAAGAGAAAAATGAAACTGCCAAAATGCAAGTGGTAATTTGGAAAATCCTGCCAAGAAAAAGCAAGCAGTCATCCACTGAAGGAAAAACCAATAAAGCAAGATAAAAATACCAGAATAAGTCACAGAATGTTTATTTTTCCTAGGTTTTCATTTTCAGTTCAAAAATACGGAGGGCTTGATGATCATCCAGTAATAAATCAAAATGGGCAGAGGGGTGGCCTGTTCTTTTCTAAGGACACATTAAAAAGTCATATAATTTCCAAGAGTGCTGGGATATTCGTCTGCGTTTGATTTACTGATACTGTTACCTTTACATGTCACCCAGCAATGGAACTCAGACTGCTGCTAAACACTTACTGAAAACAAAGCAAAAAATGTAGTCCTTGGATTTATGAATTGTGTGATAGAAAATATTTGATTTGTTGTGCTTGAATCTTCATCCTTCTGTTTTACCACCATCACTTTCCACATTACTGGCAATTAGTTTAGACAATAACAGAATTCAAGCATTGTAAAGCTTCTGTTTGGTATTTTTGGAGTAAATGGGCTTAAGTACAAGATAGGAAAGACTACTTGCCAAGACAACTTACATAATACCTTTTTAGAAAATTTAAGATAACGATCTCCTCATATATAAATTACATTTATTATCTAATCAATTGTGCAGTAACACTTTCTCAGGCTGCTTTGACAAGTGTACATGTGTGTATGCAAACGGCATTCCACTAATAATCAAAAGGGAAAATAATTTAACTTACTACTGCTGGGCACTCTTGAGGAAAAAAAACAAACCAGTGTAGCAATTGAGAGCATTCTCAATCAATCAGCTGAACAGATCACTAACCAGTATCTTAGGACTATGTCACATCACACAACTACACTCACCAAGAATTGACCTGACTGTTGCTGGATTAAATGGAGTCCACGTGCCTGAAATAGAAAGAATTACTTAGTTGAGAATAAATGGAATCCACATACCTGAAACAGAAAGAATTGCTTAGTTAAGGCTTAAGAATTCCTCAATGTTTAAGAAAAATGCAAAAAACCAACCAAACAAATCAGTTAAGAACAGTGAATTCAGAGTTATGTGACATGGAGCTGGCATATTAAAAAAATAAGGCTGCTTGAGAGTAAGAAAGTCTCACCATTCAGAGATGACTTCAGACCAGTAAGATCTGAAGTGTGGTATTTGCTTTCCAAACACCACACAGAAACCAGCATTTTAAGGCCGCAACAAAAAAAGGACTTTTTTATCCCAGGCTGTCAGGAAGTATTGGATAAAAAGCAAGATCTAAACTGAAGTACCTCTTTTCTACTGAGAGGATCAGAAGTCTTCTAAATTGCAACTCAATCAAGGCCTCATATCTGTTCCTCAGTAAAACCCCATCTGCTTTTTACAGGACTACTCCAGGGCATTTAGTTTCTGACAGAAAGAACTCCCAACATGGCATAACCATACATTCCAGTTTAGAGTAGTTTAGTACAAATCCCACCTCCACTGCTAAAACAATTTAGTGTTACTTTGCATTAGTATTTTTAGACCAAGAAATGTTGCTGCTTTGAAAGGGCCCGAGCAGTAACGATCTGGAGAGGAGCTCTGTAATTCTCTGCGTATTTAGAGACTCATCATTATGAAACTGTTTTCACTTGGTTGAGAGCATTCCCAAGCGCAAGGAAGCATTAAGCTTTAAACAAAGGAATCCTGTGCCTCATCTAGAATTTCACCATGGATTCTCCAGAGCCTGTGAAGGAACCAGGAGCACGAAGCAGCACATAATGAACTGGCTGTGGTTGCCTGCAGGAGCCCAAGGAATCGGCGAGACCGCAAAGGAGTCGGTGAGCCGAGGGCAGCGCAGAGGCACTCCCAGGATGTGTCAGCTGAGCGCAAATCCCAGCAGAAGGGCCGAGCTGGGATCCGGCACTTGGCTCTGCTGGGTCACGGGCAGTGGTGCGACTGCAGGGAGAGCCCTGCACTGTAGGCAGGCCCTGTGACTATTTGCACATAAAGGAATACAAGCAGAGAAAGAGAAAAGGAAAAATGGCTCTGAAAATGCTGAAGCAGTATTTCAGACAGAGACCTCAGAGCTGTGTGTCTCTTCAAAAAAATAAGAAATAATGGAATTAATAAGGTGCCAGGATTTAACACTGAACAGAGTAAGAGGAAAAAGTGATAATAAAAGTCTGAAAATTAAATTATTTCATCTTGAAACATGCAAGTGATTCATATAGCCACCACAGAATGAAATCTGAGCAACTCCAGAGGTGACGAACTGTACTGATTTCTTCCTATTCCAATAAACAGTGAAGACTGTCCCTGTCTCTCCTCTCCTGACTCTAGTATTAACTTCCCACAGCAGCACAGAAGAAAACAAGGAAGCAAAGGATTTTATTGTGCAAACAGTTAGACAAAGTGATGATCAGTCCCTCCCATGTAAGCACACTGTTATCTGCATAAACTTCACAGGCTGAAAATGTCAAATTGTCAAAACCACACTGAACTTCAAAAGTCAATGAGCACAATGCAGAATTTTTTAGTGTTTTAGAAATAAACACATAACATTATTTTAGCCCATGTTAAATTGCAGGACGGCCATGCACAAACAACCACTAAAGGATATATATTGAAAATAATATAGTGAATTGTTAGTGACTGGTGTACAAGATCTACAACCTCTTGGAATGCAGGAAGCTTACAGTTCTGTAAATATTTTGTCTAACACTTGGTAGGCATTCTTCATAACTGCAAAACACTGAAACTGCTACTCTACACTGTAAATAAGGAAAGAAAAGAGCTCAGATAGTCATCACTGCCTATTAACCTTAAATTCAGTCATATGAGGAGATATTTAAAATATATAAAATTAAAAATGGCAGATTCATATGAGAAAATATTTAAAATATATATAATTTAAAACAGCAGGTAAAAAATGACAGTTTCTCACAGCTCTAAACAGCATTGTAATCTAAATTAAAATGGTGACTTAATTTAACTTCGTTTTTGCTAAAGATTTTATTAAAAATTTTAATTATGGATCAGTTCTGGCAGCCACAACACACTGCTTTTAATTTATCAGATACATCATTAAACAAATATTCTAGTACATCCAGTTCAGTTACAAGACTGCAGGTTTACTGAATAGAACCTTATAAATTTATTTCAAGTCAGGCAATTACTGACAAAAATGGGCCCTTCAGCCAGTGTGTGCTGCAGCTCACAACATCAGTTTAAGCCCTTCTTGGTCACAAAGCACAGGAGGGATAAAGGAATAAATTTTGGGAGAAGGGAAACTTGGTATGGGCTCAAAGGTGGACAAACAGCCTGAATATGCCCTTTTTCAGATTTCCAAATAGAAAAATACCCCACAGAGTAGAACCCTACCCACCCTGAGTCATGGAAGGAAAGTAAAAATAGGCTACTGGAAAAATGTTTCTTTTTTTTGTTTGTTTCCATGAGTTATTTGACAATACCCTAGTTTCTTTGAGTATTACAACAAGGAAATAACTACTAGGAAGTTTTAATACTAGATCTAGAGTGCATCTTTCTACTCTGTCAGGAAAAACCCAAAACATACTTTATTTCCTGCACCATACTGTATGAAAAATAAATTATGTGCAATGAAAAGGCTGGTTGTAAACAGCTTTGCCCAGGTTATACACTGATTCTGGTTAAAAAAAACAAAGGTTCAGTAGTGATGAGCAAGGAATATATGACTCACTGGTTATGATTTCTAGGAAGCAGAGCTGGGAAAAAAAGGGATGTGCATGCCCTCATTCCTCAGAATACAGACCAGTAATGTTTACTTACTATAGATAGTCAGTTTAAAACAAACAAAAAATCACAAGGATTGTTAATTTTTTTTTCCCTTTCCAGCCTTCTGCTGTAGATTAAATAGTAATTAGTGAGTAGTAAGAACACTTCCCACCCCCTTCCATACAAAGAATCACGGCATCAAGTAACCACTCTCTCAACAAATTTATCATGAAGTTTACAATGAACTACCTCACTGCTCATTTACAGACTTACCATTGGATAATGCCTGCTGAAGTTCATTATCAGATATTATTCCACTCCTGTCTTTATCAACTCTGGGGGAAAAAAACCAAAACAAAATCAAACCAAGCAGTTAGCTTTAAATGGCTGAAATGAACAGGTTCCACTTACTGAAGACTTCAACATCCTGCTTCTTACTCACCAGATGAGATTATTATTTTCCTGAAAAGTCTCTGGAACATGATAAAAGCTCCAAAGAAAACTGCAAGACTTATGAGTGAAGAGACACACAGAAACACACACTGGCAATGAAACAGTTTGGGCACACTCTCCACAAGGAAGTATTTTCATTTATTTCTGTTTAAGAGAACTGCAGAGCACACATGCTGGTTGAATCCACGAAATGCCTAAAGTCACAGTAGTGAGCTATCTGTTTCACAAACTGGAGCAACAGGTTTGTCACCCAGACTCTCTCACATGCCGACAATGGAGAGTAAGTCACTAATGTGACCAAAGTACTGAAAGACTCAATCGTTTGCAGGGCCCTGCAAAGGGGTTCAAAGGGGTTCAAAGAGGCAAAAGCAAAGGCAGGTTCCAGCTTCCACTGAGCCTTCACAGTCCATTGTCTTAATGATTCAAGTTCTGTTCAAAATTAATAAATGAAGTAATTTCTGCACAAATAAAGAATGATCATGCTTTCTTTATAAGGGTATCTGGAGGAGACTTCCCTCCATTTCATACAAGGATGTTCCCCTTGGACTGACAGTTTCATTTTCCCTCATTTAGTACCCCAACCAGAGTCCCGCTCAGCTGATCCCTGTTCACAGAAGCTGATTTTCTTTTCCTTTAGTTCTTGCTGTCTTCTTCTAAACACTTTCAGTTCATTCTATTGCTTTCTTCCCCATCTTCAAGAATTATGTAACCTGCATAACATATGCATGCAACACTAAAATTGCAAGCATAAATTGCAAAGATTTCAATTACGAATAGATATTCCCCTTTATAATCTCTGTTTCTCTTAGTATTGTGAATGTTTTTTTACCTTTTACGAGCATCTACCAAGTGCTAAGCTAATATTTTCATGAGAATGCATTATGACCTACTTATCTTGCTCCTGAGCATCATCAGTCAGCACATTCCTTTTATAAATAAAATTGTGCCAAATTAAAATGGGTTTTCCTCATGGACATTAGGTTTCTACTCTGGATTCCACCTGACATATGGGGACCACCTGTCATACAGGGATCATGATCTGGCCATGACAGGCTGATACAGCCCAGTCATTCAGGACTGTAAGGTGCTCCTGCAAACATTCACAGGCCTCAGTTACTGCAGGAATTAGCAAACTTCACCTGCCCACTCACTCTCTTTTCACAGAATCAGAGAACCGCAGAATGGTTTGGGTTCAAAACCATTAGGGACCTAAAAGATCAGCAAGTTCCAATCCTCGGCTGTGGGCAGGGAGTCCCACCTTCAATTACACCAGATGGCTCAGAGCTCCCTCCAGCCTGGCCTTAAACACTTATAGGGATGGGGCAGCCACAGTTTCCCTGGGCAGCCTGTTCCAGCGCCTCACCACGCCCACAGTGTACAACCTCTTCCCACCATCCAATCTAAACCTTCTCTCTTTCCCAGCTGCTCCTGAAGAGATTACATAAAGATCTCAGGAGAGCTCCATCTGTCAGTGTGGTGCATGACCACACGCACACACCCTTCAGTCAGTTTTCCATGCACTGAAGAATGCTTCCATTCATTCCACGTTTACTGAATTTCTTCAAGGGCCTTTTGATAGTGTTGGGAGTGTTTTTGAAAAGCATACAGATTATATGAATTGCTCCAATTCCAGCCATCATATCCATATCCAATCCTTACCAAACATAGTCCAGGATTTATACAGCAGTCTGCCAGAAGGAATATTTTCAACAAAAGCCATGCAACTCTCCTGATTAAATACATTATTTAAAATATTTTTACTGATTTTCTGCTGCAGAAGCCAGATTGTTGATCTGTTTCTTTCTGGACCCTTTAAATGAGAAACGGCTTCATGCATGCCTCTGCCGAGTTCTCAGAGGAAGTTGTTTTACAGCAGGCTGGGTAGGTAAGCTGCTGCATTCCTGAGTCACTCTGTAAATATCAGCCAGTTTTAGAAACTTAGTACTGTTTGTCTCCTGCTTAACTTCTTCTTGCTGCTGCTTGTGTCAGAAGATCTGTCTTGACTCATCTCTCATAAAAATGGATCCAACGTAGGCACCTCCCCAGTTTCCTCAACAAGACATAATTGGGAAATCTCCTTTGGCTTCTTTACTGACTAGGATTTTGCCAGTATGTTTGTTTAGCACAAGCTTGCTAACTCTCTTGCAGGTCCCTCTGATCCCCGAGACTTCAAGAGAACACTTCACAGATTCCTTTAGATTGGAAAACACCTCTGAGATCATCAAGGCCAACCTATGACCCAACACCACCGTATCAAGCAGACCACGGCACTGCGTGCCAAGTCCAGTCTTTCCTTAAACACTTCCAGGAACAGTGACTCCACCACCTCCCTGGGCAGCCCATTCCAGTGTCCAATCACCCTTGCTGAGAAGAAATTCTTCCCGATATCCATCCTAAACGTCCCCTGGTGCAGCTATGTCTCGTTGGCAGCTTTAAAGACTTCCATGAACATTTATCAGATTCCTTTTCACAAGCCGTCCCTGTGCTGCTACACTGATCCTCCACACTCAGCTATCCCTTCTGCAACCTCAGGTTAAAAATTACTTCAGCGCTTTCAAGGTTACCGTCCCGCTCCCAGCGATCCCCTTGACGCTCCTTACAGCATACAGCCACATTTACTCCTCCCCAGCCCTTTCCCACGGATCCTCCCACGGGGGAACCACCGCGATGCTGACAGCGCTGCCAGGCGCCCCGGCAGCCAAACCCGGCGGCGCTGGATGCGCCGGCCCGGTGGCCGGACTCCCGCAGCAGCCCACCCGCTTCCGGCACCTCCCCGTGCGCGCCGGGCGGCGGGCCCGCGGTGGCGGGCGGCGGGGCTCACCTCTGGAAGACGTTCCACAGGAAGGAGGGGTCGGGCAGGGGCGCGCCGCCGCCGCCGCCGTTGGGCCGCTGTTGGTAGCCCGCCGCCATGGCCCCGCGCGCGCCTGCCCGCGCGCCGCCGACACCGGCCGCTCCTGACGCAGCGCGCCCGTGACGTCACGGCCGGGCGGGGGCGCGCGCCCCGCCCCGCCGCGCGGAGGGGAATCCCGAGCGGAGCCGAATCCCGAGCGAGGCCCAATCCCCAGCGGGGCCGGCGCGCGCCCGCCCCGTTCCCGGGGCACGGGGCGGGGACTCCGGCCGCTCCCGCCGGGAGGCGCCGCGGGAGGAGGCACCGAGGCGGGGCTGCAGCACCACCTTAGCGCGGCGCGCGGGGACCCGCCCCGCCACGAGCCGCCGCCGTCCCTCACGAAGGGTCCGGCAAGGGCAGGAGCCGTCCCTGTGACCGATCGCTGCGGCGTCCCCGCTCAGGGCAGCTGGCGTGTCCTGAGGGGAAGGAGCGTAAGTTTAACATCCGAGAGGTGCCTCTGCACCATCGCTGGGAGGAAGAAGGGATGCAGAGGGAAATAAAGCCCGCTGAACAGATTCCCTTACACAAAGTGAGGATTAAAGCACGCAGGGAAAGAATTTCAGGGACAGGACGGAATTAGAGTACAAGGCAAATTAGCATCACCTCACTAATCTTTAACTGAATTCTACTGAGGGCTGAACACAACCCCATGAGAAAGTGACGTTCCCCTCCCCGTACCTACAATTTCTAGGCAAAGTGCACAGTCCCGTGGGACCCAGGCACCTCCTGTGCTCAAATCCCTCAAGCACAGAGAGAACAGGATGATGCTCTACCGAACCATCTCTGGGGACACACTGTCCCCGTGACTGCAGAAAGTCACAATCTCAGATCCATCCTTTATCCAAACTGCTGACGGGTACATACCTCTTCTGGGGTACAGAGGAGCTGGGGACAGGGCTGGAATGGCACAAGGCCTGGGTGGCCACAGGCCTAAGGCGTTAGGTACACTAACTACAGAATGCTGAATTAAAACAGTGTAGCCTTGCACCTTCCTTGTGCTTAGCTCTGGTCAGGTACCAAGAGATAATGCCTTAAATGTGTCCTTCATCAAGGAATTTTGAATCCATCATTGTCTAATAATATTTTATAATTAGATTAATCTGAAAATACTGTGGAAATAAAATCCAGTATCTTGTGTTTTCAGAAAACTATTAAATCCAATTTTTATTCACACTTAAAACAACAACAAAAAAGATTTATATGCTCTGTAAATCTACAAGGATGCAAAGAATCATAGCTGAACATCGGAATGGTTTAAAATTTTATTGAACTGGTGTGCTTTATGTGCTGTTTTTTAGTGAATCAGTGAAAAAAAAATGGTACCTTATGTCTTTATTTATTTATTCAACCTATAATCAAATTGCACTGTAGCAATTTCAATCAGTCCTTTAAGTCAGGAAACTGATTTCATAATTAAGTTTTCTGCAATAAACTATTTTACACCAAAGTAAGTACATACACAAAATATAATGTGAAAGTGGATTGACATTAACACTGAATGCAGTGCCATATAAAGACCATTCTAAAGGAGTCTGCTTAGGCATTGTATGTGATGTATGTTAGTATATCCAGCACTAATACAGCTCTGCAAGTTTTGGTATAAATATCTTTATATAGCATTGCAGTGCACTGTGCAAACATATTCCACAAGAAAAATGTATTTGCTGACAGCAAAACCAGCTGTGACAAACAGGTCAGTTAAAAAAAAACAACCATGCCATTAAAAGCTTCGTTCTTCAAACATGACCTTTAATCCTTCTTTCAGGTATCTTGCATTTCCTCACGTCCAAGTCTTCAGAAAGAAATATGCCTAGCAAGTATCAATGTATATTGAACTTCACTCAAAATAACGTTGCCAAATTTGCCCACAAATATTTCAAACCCGTTGATCCCAGAGCAGTAATGACACACAAACACGGAGTTGTCATTTACTTCAGAAGTTTTGGCACAGTGAGAGTAGGAACTGTAATTTCTTTAAAAATTGGCACATAGTTTGGATTCGGTTGGCTTGGACCTTGATCCAAAGTTTCAATGATAGTCTGCTTCATATCTCTGCTGGCATCGCCTCTCACTGTCAGCAAAGCTGCAATGTGGTCATCCCTGCCAAAGGAAAAGGGTAAAACTGCCATTAGGAGGCTTTGCACAAGAAAGATTTTGTCAAAACCAGCACTTAATTGGCAATCCTTTCACTCAATTTCAGGTACTTTTTTTTCTTACTCAGATCTCTGCTCACTCAGAACTGGTTTTTCCTGCTCAATATAAAGCACCGTTTTGGCTGCTTTCAGGACTCTAAAACCTATTTCATTCTTCCAACACACAGAGTTGAAGTATTTTTAATAATCTTCTGCAGTACTTAAGTAGTTGTAACTTCTAGTCCAGCTCACATACATTGTACATTAGCATTACTTTCCACAAGAAAGTGGTTACATTCTAAAATATGAAAAATATGAACATTTACACAGTTTTAAATTTCAAAATTTGCCCAAACCCCAAGGCAATTATGATGTTATCTATCTAGATATCAAATCTGAGGGCAAAGAGAATTACCTGATATCTGGGTATTTACTGACTAAAGTTGAAACTTCCAGATAGAGCAGTGAAGGGTCAGTCAGCTTGATAACCTCTGCAATGGCTTCAATGATGTCACAGAGTCCTTCAGTGTCCTCTCCAGAGCCCTGCAAAAGTAAACAAAAAATATTAAAAATGCCCCAAAACAATAGCAATATGCCTCAAATCTACAAATAATCCTTGAATTAATATTTTGTCTGACAGTGCCCTTGAAATTCCCAAAAAGCTGAATTTTCAGACATTAAAAAACCATGTATTTGCGAATTGTCACCAAAATCCTTTTCCCTCGTTGTTCTTCATTCAGAGACCTACTCTGAGAATATCAGTGAAGAAAGTAGTGTCCTACAAACGATATGTTGTATTTATCCACATGCTGATACATTCTAGTCTTCAACTTTGGGTAATTATGAGCATAAATATTAGGAATAACTGACATGAAAGCCCAATCTCTCCTGAAACATTTCTTCAAAACTTGCCCTCTGCTAAATTCCTTCAAGTCATTTGGCCACCAAAGCAGCTTTCAGCAACTGATTGATTGAACTGTATCTATTTAAACTCTGGACTATTTTAGTATTCTTAATTCAAGGTCATCTGGTTCTGCCAATCAGGTATGGTTTGTTTCCTTTATTCCACAACCTCTTCCATCAACTACCCCAGTTTTTCAAGCTTTCTTTCTGTGCATTATTTCTTGCATTTTGTCATCTGTTGGCCCTAGGAGCTGTCTTGAAGATCCCTGTTCCTTATGCAGTTAAAACTTTTACACCTGTCTTGTACATTGATTTTCAAATACCTGTTTTAGCCTGTCTTTTCTATTTCTACTGGACTTTAAATGGGGTCAATATACTCGTCTTATTGATCCAAATGAATACACTGGATGCTCCTTACTTAATAAGTAATGGCACCTGTTTGATGCCTTTCTTCTGGCCAGGAAAAGCAAAGACTTTTTTTTAAAAGTTGGTTTTTTTTTTTTCCACTTATTTCTATGAATTCAGGGTACCTACCTCTCAGAGGCCATTCAAATATTCAGCTGCAGAGAGCTGTATAGACACAAAGTGATAGAAATTGGTGCTCAGGAATTTCAGCAGCTGGTCTGGGAGTTCAGAATCTCCATCTGTGCCCTCACCTGGCATCTTTGATATCCCCAGGTCACTCAACATTTTGGAGACATGGAGATTTAACTCTAGCCATTTCCCCCAAGCAATAAACATGTGTGGTTATTGTAAACTGCTGGGTTAACAGCACTACCCAAAGCAAATACATACAGCTGCAAGCTTCTTGAACAAAAATCTGAACTGTTCTGCTTCTTTGATCATTCTTTCTGCACCCTCTTTTCTCTCTTCTGCATTCTTGAAAGATATACGTTTTAGCATGATTGCTCTGATGTATTCCACAACTACTCGCCGATGGGCCTCAAGAGTCATTGTCTGAAAGAAATGGAAAAGGTCGTGGGTTATGCCAGTGACACCTGCAGATGTAGCCATTATTTTTAGGCTTTGAACTGTATATTTCCACTTAAATACCAGTATACAATTTTTGCTAATATAGATTGAGTGGTTTTAGATTTTCACAGTGCTAACAGAAATGAAAATCTCTCCTTCCCTAATGATGAGCCAAGAAGCAACAAACCCAAGATATCTTTAATAATATGTCTGAGTTTTTTTGAAGAGCACCAAAGAACAATCACTTTCTCAGATCTTCCTTGACTGATTTGCTGTTCTGCACCTGTCTTTTTATGGGAAATATCTACTGGTACGTGGATGAAGCATCTGGTGCAAGAGTAATGCTGAGGTTTGGAAATAAGGAACAAAACTAAAACCCCGAAACCTTCACATACTTATTTTTCAACAGGAATGTAAGCAGTGTCCCTAAATCCCACAAGTCCTCAGGTGTTTTTTCTTCCCCTTAAGCATGGTGGCAAAGTTACTTACGATTAAGAAAAAGCTGGCATAACAGGTAGTTGCAAACTTTTTATCATGTTTTATTAGTAGTATGATCCAACTTTAGTTTCAAGTTGTTATTGAAACATGTTCTTCAGTCAAAATTTGAATAAAAGGTTTCAGGAAAGAGAGAAAAAAGGAAAAAAAAAAAAAAGAAAAGGGAAAAAAACAACAGATTGCAAAGTATTGGAAGTCACAACCCTCATCCAGAACACAGAAAATGCAGTTTCAAGTTCTGCTCTCAAGAGTCTGCAGAAGTACCAGTTAGGCAGTTGCTCAGGGATGGCTTCTCTTGCGTTGGTGGAATTGATGCCAGTTACACAAAGGAAAATGAACTGCACAGAACAGACTGTGGGGGGCTGACATGTATGGCCCACCCTGCTGGAGAGGAACTGAGAAACAGCTCCACTAGCTGAGAACACTCCACAAGAGCCAACAGTGGTATGGTACAGCATTTAATTACACACGAAGAAAACAGTAAAGCAGAATGCCTTAGATCCTGATTTCCTC